GTAAATAAATAAAGGAAGACGATTTTTAAAATGGTTCAGATGCTCAAAGCAAATCCTACATCCATTGTCTTTTTATAGAAGAAATGTTACAATCAGGTCGCAAGTAGCGATCAGAAAAGAAATACAGAGAGGGAGAGAAAGAGTGTTTATATTATCGAAAGCCGAATCCAAATGAAGAGAGGGGAGCTCTCTATTTATAGTAAGAGGTTCCTGGGCAATGATTACGGGTCTGTCAATGGGCATGTAACGTACAGTTCCTACCTTGCTTCCTATTGGTTGGCTGTGCGATAGGTATCCTTAAATCGCGCAGGGATCGGGCAAGTGGATGACTCCCAGTCATTCACTAGCCATACCTTTACCTGCCAAGTTGATGATAAGCTTACTCCTTCTGTCCTTGGACGATGTGGTAGCGTCTGGACAGCACAATGCTTTCCTGAACTCTGATTAATCCTTGTTGACGTGAGTCTATGTCAGCCTAATTTTTTAGGCATAACATCAATGATGCACCAAACATCTTACAATATTTCACATATGTTATACAATGTTGCGCACCAAACATACCCTAACATAAAATTTATAAACTTATTATGTGACACTTGTAAACCAAAAACATAAAACTTAAACAATGAATTATACAAAATCCTATTATAGCTAAAGAAGTGAAAATTTAGCAAGTGAAAATTTGTTAAGTAAAAGAAAATGAAAATCTAGGGTATCTTCATTTACATTTTGTATTTACTGTATTAGTTTTTCTTGGATAGGAATTGACGAGAAATACATTTGTTTGCCACTTTCAATAGATTTGAACTTTTGAAAATAAATAAAAGGGAGGGGTGGAGAGGACGTGAACCCATATAAAAAATAAAAAAATCATCTATTATCTTTTTCCTTTTATATTTTCCCTTCTCTCTAAAAACAAGAATTTTCATTTCAAATCAAGATTTTTTAACACAAAATTGCTGAGAAACAACTATTGACATATATGAGATAAACAAATAAGCGGTAAGTTGAAGAGATTTTATTGGATGTTTATAAGTTTCGTATTTTTCATATATATATTGTATTCTAATAAATATGTTGAATGTGTTTTCATTTTTTATTTTTAAAATATTAATTGTTTTTCTCATTTTTCAACAATTTTTAATACTTTTCAGAAACCAAAAAAAGAATTCACAAAATTCATAAATAAAGGTTGCTTTATAAAATATATTGTACAAATTACAATATCAGATTGTCAACATCCTATAATAGCCAAAAAGGTAAAAAGCTGTTTGGGTCCCAATCCCAACTCCCAAGTTGCTGGCTAAATCCCAATTCCAATTAAATTGAGGGACAAAGCATGCATAGTAGCTGACAAGTCGGGTATTGTGCCCTACCCAGAAAGCTCCCCTAGGTCATGGGGTACAGGGCTTTTCAAATATGTCCAAATCTCCAAATAATTCACTTTTCTTTTTTTATGCCTTCCTCAGACTACCAATCAAATAGATGCGTTGAGGCCACCTGGAAGAGATAGATTACTGTTGAGAATGGTGGTGCAGTTGAGTAGAGGAGCAAATTAGGCCGGACCCAAAAAGGCCAGCCTAAAAAACCGATCCTAGGATTGGCCTGGTCCCTCCTCCAAGACTCAAGCCTAGGACCGGTCCCCAGCGCGGGCGTAAACCCCCTCTCCAATTTCTTTTTAACCCTTAAAAATATTTAAAATCTCTTATTTAATATGAAATTGATAATAAATATAGGGGTTAAAAAAAATTTACAAAAAAAAAAANTTTTTTGCATTTTCCTCCCCATACCTAAACTATAAATAACACCTAAGTCCCACCCATTTTCCTCACAACTCTCGATCTCTCATTCTCTGTACTACAATTCTCAAACTCTCTTTAATTTCATCTATTATTCAATTTATAATTTATATTTATTCATTATTCAGTTTCCTTCATTTTTCAATTTCATCTATTATTCATATTATTATTTATATTATTCAATTTCATCCATTTTATTTATTTATTATTTTATCATAATGGATTCTCCAAATTATGTATTCGGAGGATAATAAGAATTTCGTTCCGGTTCCTCCATCCACCCAAGAAATGGAAGGGTTCATCCATTTTCACCATTTCCAAACGCAACAATTCCAAATCCAAAGATGGTCGAGATTGCGTCCAACCAAACACAAGCGAATTACGACACCATGGCAAGACTGACGAAAGAGGGTCGAGTATGAAAATATTTCATGAAATCAAAATGAGCAAAGCCAAATGGGTTGGGGTAAGAGACATGCGGCGTATGCAATTTTTTTCCAACCACGATCGGCGCTGAGCACGAGACTTCGACGATGAGGCAACACCTGGAGAAGAAGCACCCCCAAGTAATGTAGCAATGTTCAACTTCAACCAGAACCAGTACGCAAATATAAACTCAACTTAATTTTAATCCACAAACCTGAACTCTCTCAAACTGGCAATTCAATGCACAAACTACATGAAAGGAAGTAGCAAAATACATAGTTGTTACGGACTCTCTCCTTTTTTTTATCTAAAAATGTATTTTTTGTTGATATGATTAAAAAGGCTTTTTGTCCACAATATAAGCCTGTTAGCAAAGATACAACCAAAAGGGACATAGAAAAATAGAAAAACTTTATACTAAAATAAGTGATACGTTTAAAAAAGAATTTGAAAATTTTCAGAATATTTCTATTACAGTTACTTCCGACATATGGGCTACTACATCAAAAACATATTTTTTGAGTGTTACAATACATTACCTAGATCATAGTTGGGCTTTAAAACAAAAATTGATAGGTTGTAAACCATTATATTTAAACATAGTGCTAACGCTATTTGTTTTACAATTATTAAAGTTTTGCAACACTATTTAATAACTGAGAGAGTTGTGGCGCTAACGCTTAATAACGCAACTACTAATACCACGACAATTTCTTTATTTCAAAAGAAATTGGATTCGCTTGGTGAAAGCAATTTTTTTTACTAGAGATGTGATTGTCACATCATCAATTTGATTGTTAAAGCAGGTTTAGAAGCTATACATGCAAGGATTGATAATGTGGGCACAACTATCAGATTCATTGCATATAGTAGTACAAGATGGAATGAGTATGTCAAATATTGTCACCAAGAGGAGCCGTCGATTCAACCGAAGGAGCTATGTTGCAATATGTCTGTCCGTTAAAACTCAACGTACTTGATGTTGCAAAAAGCTATTCTAATCGCAAGACAAATTATAGATTTCGTCAATCGAAAGAACCATTCGGATGAAGTCGTCAACGATGATGATTGGACAGTTTGCAGTATTTTTCATTCATTTCTTAAAGTTTTTTACGATTCCAATTTATTATCCTACTACTAATTTAGCGTTAGATATTTTACTTCAAATTTGTAAAACTTTTGCCAGACATAGATATAATGAAGAGTTAAGCGACATTGTTTCAAAAATGGAAACAAAATACCAAAAATATTGGTTAAATATTCTATTCTTATATGGATTAGGTTTTATTGTGGATCCTAGGTTTAAATTAACCGTATTTACTTGTATAGTTAATGAGATATGCCAGCATTTAGATTATGACTACAGTTCTTATTTGATAGAATTTAACAAAAAATTGGAAAGTATTTTTTCTTTGTATCAGAATAGATACAATGGAATGCCCATCAAAGACGAGCAATGGGAAGTTGATGAAGACATTCATCAACAAGGATCGAGCATCTGGACATATATGGAACTTAGTACCAGTGGTGGTGGATGCAGCAGCTCCACAGCGCACAGATATGGACCAAGTGAGCTACATCAATATCTGCAAATGGACATGTCTTACATGACCAAGAGAGAGAACCACGAGATGGATGTGCTTCAATGGTGGAACCAAAATGCAAGTCGATTCCCCATTGTAGCTTAAATGGCATGTGACATTTTATGTGTCCAATTTCCACGATTGCATCCAAGTCGATATTCTAAATTAATGGCCAGATTATTGAAGACAAAATATGCTCTTTAACCAATGAGATTGTTGAAGTCATTACATGCTTATAGGATTGGACTCATGTAGACAAAAGACTACAGTACCATCCTAAAGATCCCGAACTACTCGACCTCTTAAAAAACACAGATTTGAGCGATGTAAAGTAATAATTTAATAAAAAAAAAATTATCTAATTGTTTATTTGTTTAAGTTTAAATTAAATTTGCACATTGTGAACCTTATATTTATGCTAAAATTAAATTATCTCTTTAAATTAAAACCATATAAATTTATAACCAATTAACCATTCATTTATATTTATTTACTAATTATTCAAAAAAGTTATAAATCACCCTAAAAAATTACATAAAGCCCCCTACATAATTTTCGATTTACCCAAGGATATAAAAAATTATGAGGGCTAAATAAAATTTTTTAGGCCCATAGGATCGGTCTTGGGACCGATCCTATGGGCCCATGACCAATCCTAAGGACCAGTCCAGGCCCTGAGAAATCCATGAGCCTAGGACTGGTCCCTGATTATTTGGGCCTAGGACCGACTGGGCCTAAGCCTTTCCCACCTCTACAGTTGAGAGTGGTTTGAAAGGGAAATGGGGATTTCAGCTAGAAATGGTGGGGGGAGAGGATAGACGGCAGTTGAGAGTGGCAATGCGGTTGCGAGTAGTGGTGGAAGAGGATAAACGACGGTGGTGCTGTTAAGAATGGTGATAAAGGTTAGAATTTGTTATTTGAAAGAGAATTGGGGATTTCTGATTTAGTGGTAGTGAAAAGTATTTTATAGTCTTTTTTTTTTTTCTGAATTTGGGTTAACTAAAATATTTTAATTAATATAATTAATTAATTATTAAATATTTTACAAAAGGCTGAGTTGGTAAGTGATGATGTGGGGCTCTCTGTAAACCCTTTTGAAAGTGTAGTCTTTCTGTTTTAAAAATTTGTCCTTAACCAGGGGTTGACTTAAAAACTGTTAACTAAGAATCTTGACCTTTCCCAAACATGCCTACTTGTGATAGCGTACATCCATTTTCTTCAAGTCCGCTCAAAGACTTTCAAACCCTTGGATTTCCACAAAAGTTTAGTCTTTCTTCTCCTTCCTTTTTCTCAACTTCATGATTTTTCTTATCCTTCAAACCCTTCATATTTTTTCTTGTTAATCTAGTTTTAATTTCCTTTCTCTGTCGCAAACTTTGATCTTCATCTGTGTATATGTATATTGACCTTCAACATATTGGATTAACATTATCTTCTTCTTTTTCTTCTTGTTTGCAGATCTTCTGATAAAAAATGACTGCTCAAGAAAACGACGAGGCAGCCAAAAAGTTGCAGAAAAGCTATTTTGATGTGTTAGGTCTTTGCTGTTCAACGGAGGTTTCTCTTGTAGAGAGGATCCTCAAGTCCGTCAATGGTGTTGAAGAGTATTCGGTGATCGTCCCAACCAAAACAGTCGTTGTGGTACATGATAATCTCATCGTTTCTCAGCTTGAAATTGGTAAATTAAAGCTTAAACTTTTTTCTTTTAATCAATTAGAAAATTTATCTCTTTCAGTTAATGGTTAAACATTATCCTCTTTCTTTTTTGCTTCCATTTTGTGAACTTTACCACGAAAAAATAAGATCCTAAACTATTTCTGTTGTGATTTTATCTAATTTCATAACAAATGCATTAAAACTTGTTTTCCTAAGGCCCTAATCTTATCACCACATAAGAGTACCTTTTCGGAAGACTAAGAACAGGAGTTCATCTCTAATTATGCTTTTAACTCATAAACAATGAAACAATTATGTCTTTGTTTTATAAGTAATGCTAAGCTTACATCATTCTTTTACACAATTTTTATTACATCATGATGTGGCATATGCTACAATTATATAAATTTTTAATTATTTTAAATTTTTAATATTGTAATAGAATTTGTGTGATTATAACATATGCCACGTTATGATGTAATAAAAATAGTGTAAAAAAATGGTGTAAGTGTAACATTACTCGTTTTATATTACTTTTGTTTATTAATATTTTTATTGACATATGGCTAACATCATATGCAATTTTGATTTTTGAGATATTATTGAACTCCTAGCCCAAGAAAAAGTGTCAAAAGCCCCTTAATAGAGTATACTTAATACTTTCATAAGTGTGGACGGTTTTAGTATTTTATTTTTATTATCTCTTAAAAGGGGGGAGTTAGACTTAGTTTGAAATTGTTGTATCTTATTCCGTATTTACTTACAAATCAAGTTTAGAAAAAAATCAATTTCAAATAAAATAAATAAGGTGTTTGTTTTGCTCAATTATAAAATTATTCACCTCTTAGGAAATGAAGCATAACTAACATAAAAAGGACAAAATATATACATTTTAATTAATTTTTTTCTGTCATTAAAACATATTAAAAATATTAAATAAAATATTCTAAATAAAAACATTTCAAATTTTTTAAAGAAGAAAACTTGTCGGTATAATCTCCGATTAGTTGCAACGAGACGACAGTGCCGACACCATTAGTTGAACCTTTTGACCAAACCACCAGCATCATTGTTTTTTATTTCTAATATTTTTAAAAAATTAGAATTTAAATTTACTCTTGTTGTATTTATGTAATTGACTCTTCCAAAAGCAGATTTTAAATCCTAAGAACTGGAAAAACCTACTTTTTGAAATTCTTTTATGAAATATTAGATTATTACATAATATAATCATTTTTTTTTTAAATTTATTTCTTAAACTACGTCAACCCCAAAAGAACATCTAAAAGTCTCCTCATCTACTCATTTTTTTTTATTTGTTTGCTTGCATCACCAACTAATCAACCTTCATTCATATTCTCTTGCTAACATGTTGTATTAATTATTTAGACAGGTATAGAAAATAGTTATAATACTCCACGTAGAATGTACATCCTCAGTGGAATCGAAATTTGTAACTATATTATTATTATTGTTATAGTTGTTGTTAAGAATATTTAAATATGTCTACAAAATGTACTTTCAATTTATTTAATATTAACATTATTAATGGCTTAATACAACCATGAATGAGTGATAGAGAACTACCAACTGTTTTTGTTTCAGCTATTTCATTTGGTTTATTTATTATTACAGTTAAGGCTCTGAATCAAGCAAGATTGGAAGCAAATGTGAGAGCATATGGTGAAGAAAATTACCAGAAAAGATGGCCAAGCCCATATGCCATTGCTTGTGGAGTATTGCTTGCTCTATCATTTTTCAAGTATTTGTGGCATCCATTTCGTTGGTTGGCTCTTGGAGCTGTTGCTGCTGCCATTTGTCCCATGATTCTCAAAGGCTTTGTGGCTTTAAGGAATTGTAGACTTGATGTAAACATACTTATGCTCATAGCAGGTAAATCACTATTTTTTCCCCTTATATTCTGTTCAAGGAATAATTCCCGTCATCTTCAAAATAATCAATGACTCTTCTGTTCCTTAACAAATAACTTTCACCCATCATATTTAGAAATAATCACAAAACTCTTTTCCCCAACTCTCTGCTACATTAAATTAATTTTCCCTTAATTATCAGGATAGATGGAGACATAAAATGATAAAAGCACCCTTCTATTTATGCAGAATGGTCAAATTATCTTTTGTAAGATGTAAAACGTGACATTGAATTTGATAATGAGTCTGAAAAGATCTTAATACGCTAAAATAAGTGGTTATCGAAATGTGACCATTAAATATTTCAATGGTTACATTTTGTTGTTCTTATAAGAGGTCCAATTCTTTTGTACTTAATTTCTTAATTATCACATTGTCTAGAAAAAATGACTGTTTTTTGGGAAATTACAAATTACCTATTCTTTGGGGTGTGAATTGAAATATATCATTTTTTGTTGGAAATCCTTGTAAGAGATGGCCTTCCCGGCAACTTTCTTATTCTCTCCGCCCATCCAAAATATAATATTCATGCTTTCCAAACCAAATTTTCAACTCTTTTAATCATTTTTTTGGTTTCAGTCTTGTGGAAAAAACTAATTACTGTAGACAATGCATAATCCAGAGAAACCAAAATAGCCTCCTTACACCTAATTGTTCTTTTTTTTTTTTTTTTCCTTCTCATCGTTCTTCATTCTTCTTGTTCTGTTCTCTTTCTCATCTTTTATCATCTTTTTTGTTAACAATTAATACTTACATAACTATACATACATGCGTGAAGCATTGTCGAGTAGCAATTTACAAAGACCATTCAACTGTGTGCAATAGATAATCGACAATGCTTTGACGAATGTGTGATAATATGGGGGATTGAAGAAAATATAATAGGGTTATTTTTGCCTATCTGGAGATTATTTGGTTTACCTGGTAAATCCACAGTTAGTCGCTAACTAAACTTGAACCATTTGTGGTAAAATGCCTATTCCCTTTTCTCTTTTCTTTTCCTTTCCCTTCCTTTCTATGCTTTATGTGTATTATTGTCACTGCATGCCTTCTTTTTATTTTCCTTTTCCCTTACCAGAGATACCTTTGGAACTGAAAATTCTAACCACCATGCGACAACATGATAATTTATTGTTGAGAATCAACATGATAATGAGTTTATTTCATTTATCTCCTGTCAAATCGTTTAATATAAGATATACCTACTGTCATTAATGAAAAGTATTTAATACTCTTATCATAGAGTTTTTGATAGATTTAGAGTGCTTTTGACATTTTTACGTGGATTTTTGATATCTTCAACCGAGTTTTTTTTTTTTTTATAATTCTAGGATATATAATAATATTCAATAAGACATAAGTAAATGAAATAGACTCAAACTTTAATTGAGGCACTAAACGTGAAGATTTCTCTTTTCTAATAGTTTATTTTATTTTTATTTTTTGGCATTATTATTAATTATCCATCCGGATTCCATAGTCCTTTCCCAATGCTTTTGAAGATATTGCCTTCTAAGTGGCTTTCATCAATATGAGTACTAAAATAAGATATAGTGTTTTGTAAATCATAGAGTTTGATTGACTCAAAGCTAGTGTGCTTGTTCTAAATTTCTTAGTAAATCCAATCACCCAAATCATATTTAAGTGTTAATTGTTTTTCTACCTTTAGCAGTGTCTTTAATGTTTTCGCTAAACAATCATAAGAAAATGATTTCACATTGAACTTAATAGTACTCATCTGACAAAGCGAAAACACGAAAAAAAAAAAAAATTAAAAACTATCATGTAACTTTCTTAAGATGTCGACTACATGACAAAAGAAATCCCAAAGAAAATTAAAAAATTTATTGATAATCCATGAATAACTTGTTATAACAACCCTTGTATAATTAACTATTCCTAATACTACTAGAGTAAGGTAAATAAAATTCCTAATTGCATTAAAATCTCAAAAAAGCAACATAAAACAAATAAGAAATCAATAGGAAACCCAAATTTAACTAAATTAAGTTAGAGTTAATGACATTAATTCCCCCGAGGTTTGATCTAAAAACAAGTCCCCATGAGGTTTTCGAAATAATAAAAATCCCCCTGCAGTTAAAGAACTATTAATGAGACAATAAAATTTATTTGATATTTGTCGAAATGAGGGTTGCTATCCCAATCGTTTTGAGATATCGACAATTGGCAAATTGTACCTCCATCACTATGGCCCTCATCCTTAGATATTTGTCGAAATGAGGGTTGCTATCCCAATCGTTTTAAGACATCAGCAAATGACAGGATTGTACATTGCTTTGATACCACTTGGTGAAGCAAAAATGCAAAATAAATAAATAAATAAAGATAAAAGAAAAGCTAGTACGTAACTTTATGAGGGATGTCGAATATATGACAATAAAAACCCAAAAGGGACTCATAAATTTATCGATAAATCATGAATAATTTGTTACATAACAACCCTTTTTAGAGCTAATTGTTCCTATATACTACTATTAGAGTAAGGTAAATAAAATTCGTAATTGAACTAAAATCCCTAACTAGAAATGTAAGACAAATAAGAAATCAATAGGAAAACCAAATTTTACTAAATTAAGTTTTCCCAACTTACGAAATCTAATAAAAATAGGAAAATAATTATGACTCAAAACAAGAACACTAACATAACTAAAACTTGTCCTACATCAACATCTCATATGAAGGTTTTTATTTGATTTCTTCTTTTAAAATAGCTTACTTGCTTTGCCATAAAAGCAACAAAAACTTACCACGTAAATGTGAAGAGTAATGTTACAACCATAATCTCTTCTTACAAATTTTCTCTTACAACTCCGGTGTGACGGTTTGCAATTGGTCAACCGCAATTTATCAAGTGTGACCTATTACAAGCTAACTAATTGCGAGCTGTCACGTCACGGTTGTGATAGAAAGTTTGTAAAAAAAGTGTTATATATGTAACATTTTCCTAAATGTGAAATATGTTAAAGCTTGAGTTCAACTTTACAACTCAAAAAGTTGCAAAAAGCTTTTGTTTCAAAATGTTTTATCTATGTTATTAAAAAAACCAGAGAGTACTTCCGACTAAAATAAGCTAAATTATTTATTTATTATGAGGTGACTCGTCAAAAAATTACAAGGTTCATTCAATTTATTATTTTTTATTTTATTTTATCTATGTCATAAAGAAAACTAGAGATTCAAAATGATCCCAGTTATGAGTTATATATATGACATGCTTCTAAAATATAATCATTTTCAATTGGCTGACACTTCAAGTACTATTTTTTCAACAGTGACAGGTTCGATTGCTTTGAAAGATTATACAGAAGCTGGTGCAATTGTCTTCCTTTATACCATTGCAGAATGGCTTGAGGAAAGGGCAAGCCACAAGGTTTGCGCCTATCAGCTGCCCAACCTCTTTTCTTTTTGGCTCATCATTGTGTTTTAGAAATTTGAGTTCGTTACCCAAAACTAAATTTTAAATATTAAGTTACAACACAAAATTTAGTTTTTCGTTGGATTTTAGTATTTCAAATACATTCAATATTATATCTATAGATTATTGGACTAATACAATATTGAGTTCTTCCTGATTAGCTAACCCTTTGTTAAGTAAAAACTTAACATAGTATCAGAATCAGATGTCTAAAGTTCCAATCTCCACATTTAACTGGATAAAAAAAAAACTAAAAAAGATTCAAGAGCCTATTAGACTAATATAATGTTGAGCCCTTGTAGGCCTTGGAAAACAGTAATTAATTTTTCTGATTGTTCCATTTCTTAAGCACATATTAAATGAAAAACAATGTCTCAGGCAACTGCTGTAATGTCAACACTGATGAGCGTAGTCCCTCAAAAGGCAGTAATAGCTGAAACTGGAGAAGAAGTTGATGCTGGGAAGGTGGAATTGAACACTGTTCTTGCAGTTAAAGTAGGCGAAATTATACCCATTGATGGAATTGTCGTAGATGGCAGCTGTGAAGTCGATGAGAAAACATTAACTGGGGAGTCATATCCTGTGGTCAAACAAAAGGATTCCTCTGTTTTGGCTGGCACCATCAATCTAAATGGTACGTATACGGATACCACACATCTTACTTAAAAAATATTTGTTTCTTTATTAGTATGTTAATGGGTCCTTAATTTTTCCTTTACAGGTTACATTAGTGTAAAAACTACTGCTTTAGCTGAAGATAGTGTGGTGGCTAAAATGGCAAAATTTGTTGAAGAAGCTCAAAATGGTAAAACAAAACCCCAAAGAGTCATTGACAGATGTGCCCAGTATTATACTCCAGGTTTGTCAAATTTTTATGTCTAGATCATTTACATGTTGCCATTGGAGATGCTTGAGACTGAAAGATAACAATATGCAATAAATAACAACATTCTTATCTTATACGAGTATGTTTGGTGCGCGACAGTGTATAGTAAAGTATTGTATAGTATAATATTGTATTGTATTGCAAAGTATTGAATAATATTTATATGAAATATAATAGAATATTTGGTGCATCATTGTATCGTATTAATTTATGTTTAGCTTTTCAATTAAATTTTAACAAATATTCTTCGAAATTTAATAATTCATTTAAAAAATTTTAACATGTTAACTGAATGTTATATCAGTCATTAAAAAAATTTTAAAAAAAAATAATGAAAAAGAATCATTTACTAAAACTATGAATATTACAAAAATTAAAATTAAAATTATTTTTTATTATGTTATTTTAAATCGATAATTATCTATATATTTTAAAGTAATTAATTAATATTAAAATTGTCTAAACAAATAAAATAATATAATACATTCCTTAACTCATCCTTTTACTTGGTATTGATTAATATAACTCTATTACTTGGTGTTAATTAGTATAATGAAGATGCATTTAGGACTTGTACAGTGCATTAACTAATATAGGGCAAAGTTTACACCAAATATAATATAGTATTATTTAGTATTATAAAGTGTTCTTTATACCATACAATGTCGCGTACCAAACATACCTTAGCTACAATTTAGTTTACTTATTCTGCATACTTGTTTTCCCATCTTTAATTCTTGAGTATTTATATTGCACAACTTACATATTAGCTTTCTTGGTTACTTATTTTGCAGTTGTTGTAGTTTTATCAGCTTGTGTTGCAGTGATTCCAGCGGCATTAAGAGTTAATAACGTCAGCCACTGGCTTCATTTAGCATTGGTTGTTATAGTTACTGCATGCCCTTGTGCTCTAATCCTCTCAACACCTGTTGCCACTTTCTGTGCACTCACCAAAGCTGCAACTTCTGGTCTTCTCATCAAAGGAGGAGACTATCTTGAAGTTCTTGCCAAAGTTAAGGTTATGGCCTTTGACAAAACTGGAACCATTACAAGGGGTGAATTTGTTGTATCCGAATTTCAATCTCTTTGTGAAGATATTAACTTAAAAACTCTGATTCACTGGTAAGGACTTTCACTAGCATCAATGAATTCATATCAAGTTATTGATACTAAATGCTAAAAATAAAAATTATAGGGTATCAAGTATTGAGAGTAAGTCAAGCCATCCAATGGCAGCTGCATTGGTTGATTATGGACGGTCTCTTTCCATTGAGCCAAAGCCTGAAAGTGTTGAAGACTATCAGAATTTTCCTGGAGAAGGCATTTATGGGAAAATTGATGAGCAAGGAATTTATATAGGAAACTCAAGAATTGCTGTGAGAGCTGGATGTGAAACAGGTTAAATTTCTTTCCAGTATATGCTTGTAAATAGGTCTTTTACGACGGTAATTTCTGTTGTAAATGGTTTTTACGACAGTAATACAACAGAAATCACCCGTTACATATACAACAGTTGTTTAAGATATATGGTTAATGCAGTGTTGTAATTTTTGGATATTTAGTGTCATCCACGCAAGGAGTTAAAAAGGAAGGAAGCACGATTGGATACATATACTTTGGAGCATCCCTTGTTGGAGTTTTTAGTCTCTCTGATGCGTGCCGGACTGGGGCTGCTGAGGCAGTCATGGAACTGAACTCTATGGGAATTAAAACTGCTATGCTTACAGGAGATAATCAAGCCTCAGCTATGCATGCACAACAACAGGTAAATTAAGGTTTAAATGTGAAGAGTAATGTTACAACCACATATCTTCTTAAACTTTCTCTTACAACTCCGGTGTGACGTTTGCAATTGGTCAACCGCAATTTATCAGTGTGACCTATTACAGATAACTAATGGAGATGTCACGTCACGGTTGTGATAGAAAGTTTGTAAAAAAGTTTATATATGTACATTTTCCTAAATGTGAAATATGTTAAAGCTGAGTTCAACTTACAACTCCAAAGTTGCAAAAACTTTGTTTCAAAATGTTTTATCTATGTTTAAAAAAAACAGAGAGTACTTCGACTAAAATAAGCTAAATTATTTTTATTATAGTGGTGATTCAAAAAATTACAAGTTCATTCAATTTTTTTTTTTTTTTTATTTCATAAAGAAAACTAGAGATTAAAATGATCCAGTTATGAGTTATATATGACATGCTTCTAAAATATAATCATTTTCAATTGGCTGACACTTCAAGTACTATTTTTTCAACGTGACAGGTTCATTGCTTTGAAAGATAACAGAAGCTGGTGCATGTCTTCCTTATACCATTGCAGAATGGCTTGAGGAAAGGGCAAGCCACAAGGTTGCGCCTATCAGCTGCCCAACCTCTTTCTTTTTGGCTCATCATTTGTTTTAGAAATTTGAGTCGTTACCCAAAACAAATTTAAAATTAAGTTACAACACAAATTTAGTTTTTCGTTGGATTTTAGTATTTAAATACATTCATATTATATCTATAGATTATGGACTAATATAAGTTAGAGTTCTTTACCGATAGCTCTTCTCTCACAGTTAGTCGCTAACTAAACTTGAACCATTTGTGCTAAAATGCCTTTTCCCTTTTCTCTTTTCTTTTCTTTTCTTTTCTTTTCTTTTCTTTTCTCTTCTATGCTTTATGTGTATTATTGTCACTGCATGCCTTCTTTTTATTTTCCTTTTCCCTTACCAGAAATACCTTTGGAACTGAAAATTCTAACCACCATGCGACAACATGATAATTTATTGTTGAGAATCAACATGATAATGAGTTTATTTCATTTATCTCCTGTCAAATCGTTTAATATAAGATATACCTACTGTCATTAATGAAAAGTATTTAACACTCTTATCATAGAGTTTTTGATAGATTTCGAGTGCTTTTGACATTTTTACGTGGATTTTTGTTATCTTCAACCGAGTTTTTTTTTTTTATAATTCTAGGATATATAATAATATTCAATAAGACGTAAGTAAATGAAATAGACTCAAACTTTAATTGAGGCACTAAACGTGAAGATCTTTCTTTTCTAATAGTTTATTTTATTTTTATTTTTTGGCATTATTATTAATTATTCATCCGGATTCCATAGTCCTTTTCCCATGCTTTTGAAATCATTGCCTTCTAAGTGGCTTTCATCAGTATGAGTACTAAAATAAGTTATAGTGTTTTGTAAATCATAGAGTTTGATTGACTCAAAGCTAGTGTGCTTGTTCTAAATTTCTTAGTAAATCCAATCACCCAAATCATATTTAAGTATTAATTGTTTTTCTACCTTTAGTAGTGTCTTTACTGTTTTCGCTAAATAATCATAAGAAAATGATTTCACATTGAACTTAATAGTACTCATCTGACGAAGCGGAAACACGTCAAAAAAATAAATTAAAAACTATTATGTAACTTTCTTAGGATGTCGACTACATGACAAAAGAAATCCCAAAGAAAATTCAAAAATTTATTGATAATCCATGAATAACGTGGTATAACAACCCTTGTATAATTAACTATTAAAGTAAGGTAAATAAAATTCCTAATTGCATTAAAATCTCAAAAAAGCAACATAAAACAAATAAGAAATCAATAGGAAAACCAAATTTAACTAAATTAAGTTAGAGTTAACGACATTAATCCCCCTAAGGTTTGATCTAACAACAAATCCCCATGAGGTTTTCGAAATAATAGAAATCCCCCTATAGTTAAAGAACTGTTAATGAGACATTAAAATTTATTTGATATTTGTCAAAATGAGGGTTGCTATCCCAATCGTTTTGAGATATCGACAATTGGCAAATTGTACCTCCATCACTATGACCCTCATCCTTAGATATTTGTCGAAATGAGGGTTGCTATCCCAATCATTTTAAGACATCGGCAAATGACAGGATTGTACCTTGCTTTGATACCATTTGGTGAAGCAAAAATGCAAAATAAATAAATAAAGATAAAAGAAAAGCTATTACATAACTTTATGAGGGATGTCGAATACACGACAATAAAAACCCAAAAGGAACTCATAAATTTATCGATAAATCATGAATAATTTGTTACATAACAACCCTTTTTAGAGTTAATTGTTCCTATATAATACTACTAGAGTAAGGTAAATAAAATTCGTAATTGAACTAAAATCCCTAACTAGAAATGTAAGACAAATAAGAAATAAATAGGAAAACCAAATTTTACTAAATTAAGTTTTCCCAACTTATGAAATCTAATAAAAATAGGAAAATAATTATGACTCAAAACAAGAGCACTAACATAACTAAAACTTGTCCTACATCAACATCTCATATGAAGGTTTTTATTTGATTTCTTCTTTTAAAATAGCTTACTTGCTTTGCCATAAAAGCAACAAAAAAATTACCACATAAATGTGAAGAGTAATGCTACAACCACAATCCTTCTCACAAACTTTCTCTCACAACCCCGGTGTGACAGTTTGCATTGGTCAGCTGCAATTTATTAGGTGAGACTCATTAAGAGCTAACTAATTGCGAACTAATACGTCGGGGTTGTGAGAGAAAGTTTGTGACAAATGTTGTAAATGTAGTATTTCCTAAATGGAAAATCTGTTAAAGCCTGAGTTCAACTTTACAACCAAAAAGTTGCAAAAAACTTTTGTTTCAAAATGTTTTATCTATGTTGTTAAAAAAAACGAGAGGACTACCGACTAAAATAAGCTAATTTTTTTTATTATGTGGTGACTCATCAAAAATTACAAGCTTCATTCAATTTTTTTTTTTTTTTTTTTTTTTATATCATAAAGAAAACTAGAGATTGAAAATGATCCCGTTATGAGTTATAATATGACCTGCTTCTAAATATAATCATTTTCAATTGGCTGACACTTCAAGTACTATTTTTTCAACAGTGACAGGTTCAATGCTTTGAAAGATTATACAGAAGCTGGTGCAATTGTTTCCTTTATACCATTGCAGAAGGCGGGAGGAAAGGGCAAGCCACAAGGTTTGCGCCTATCAGCTGCCCAACCTCTTTCTTTTGGCTCATCATTGTGTTTTAGAAATTTGAGTTCGTTACCAAAACCAAATTTTAAATATTAAGTTACAACACAAAATTTAGTTTTTCGTTGGATTTTAGTATTCAAATACATCCTATATATCTAGATTAGGACTAATACAATATTGAGTTTTCCTGATTAGCTAACCCTTTGTTAAGTAAAAACTTAACATAGTATCAGAGTTAGAGGTCTAAAGTTGGAATCTCCACATTTAACTGGATAAAAAAAAAACTAAAAAGATTCAAGAGCCTATTAGACTAATATAATGTTGAGCCCTGGTAGGCCTTGGAAAACAGTAATAATTTTTCTGATTTTTCCATTTCTTAAGCACATATTAAATGAAAAACAATGTCTCAGGCAACTGTGAATGTCAACACTGATGAGCGTAGTCCCTCAAAAGGCAGTAATAGCTGAAACTGGAGAAGAAGTTGATGCTGGGAAGGTGGAATTGAACACTGTTCTTGCAGTTTAAGTAGGTGAAACTATACCCATATGATGAATTGTCGTAGATGGCAGCTGTGAAGTCGATGAGAAAACATTAACTGGGGAGTCATATCCTGTGGTCAAACAAAAGGATTCCTCTGTTTTGGCTGGCACCATCAATCTAATGGTACGTATACGGATACCACACATCTTACTTAAAAATATTTGTTTTTATGTATGTTAATGGGTCCTTAATTTTTCCTTTACAGGTTACATTAGTGTAAAAACTACTGCTTTAGCTGAAGATAGTGTGGTGGCTAAAATGGCAAAATTTGTTGAAGAAGCTCAAAATGGTAAAACAAAAACCCAAAGAGTCATTGACAGATGTGCCCAGTATTATACTCCAGGTTTGTCAAATTTTTATGTCTAGATCATTTACATGTTGCCATTGGAGATGCTTGAGACTGAAAGATAACAATATGCAATAAATAACAACATTCTTATCTTATACGAGTATGTTTGGTGCCCGACAGTGTATCGTAAAGTATGTATAGTATAATTGTGTATTGTATTGCAAAGTATTGATAAATATATGAAAATAATAGATTTGGTGCATCTTGTATCGTATTAATCTATAGTTTAGCTTTTCAATTAAATTTTAACAAATATCTCGTAAATTAATATTCATTTAAAAAATTTTAACATGTTAACTGAATGTTATATCAGTCATTAAAAAAATTTTAAAAAAAAATAATGAAAAAGAATCATTTCTAAAACTATGAATAACAAAAATTAAAATTAAAAATTTTTATTATGTTATTTTAAATCGATAATTATCTATATAAAGTAATTAATTAATATTAAAATTGTCAAAACAAATAAAATAATATAATACATTCCTTTACTCATCCTTTTACTTGGTATTGATATATATAACCTATTACTTGGTGTTAATTAGTATAATGAAGATGCATTTAGGACTTGTACAGTGCATTAACTAATATAGGGCAAAGTTTACACCAAATAATATAGTATTATTTAGTATTATAAAGTGTTCTTTATACCATACAATGTCGCGTACCAAACATACCTTAGCTACAATTTAGTTTACTATTCTGCATACTTGTTTTCCCATCTTTAATTCTGGATTATATTGCACAATTACATATTAGCTTTTTGGTTACTTATTTTGCAGCTGTTGTAGTTTTATCACTTGTGTTGCAGTGATTCCAGCGGCATTAAGAGTTAATAACGTCAGCCATGCTTCATTAGCATTGGTTGTTATAGTTACTGCATGCCTTGTGCTCTAATCCTCTCAACACCTGTTGCCACTTTCTGTGGACTCACCAAAGCTGCAACCTCTGGTCTTCTCATCAAAGGAGGAGACTATCTTGAAGTTCTTGCCAAAGTTAAGGTTATGGCCTTTGACAAAAATGGAACCATTACAAGGGGGGAATTTGTTGTATCCGAATTTCAATCTCTTTGTGAAGATTTAACTAAAAACTCTGATTCACTGGTAAGGACTTTCACTAGCATCAATGAAATCATATCAAGTTATTGATATAAATGCTATAAAATAAAAATTACAGGGTATCAAGTATTGAGAGTAAGTCAAGCCATCCAATGGCAGCTGCATTGGTTGATTATGGACGGTCTCTTTCCATTGAGCCAAAGCTGAAAGTGGTTGAAGACTATCAGAATTTTCCTGGAGAAGGCATTTATGGGAAAATTGATGAGCAAGGAATTTTTATTGAAACTCAAGAATTGCTGTGAGAGCTGGATGTGAAACAGGTGTAAAGTTCTTTCCAGTATATGTGTAAATAGGTCTTTTACGACGGTAATTTCTGTTGTAAATGGTTTTTACGACAGTAATACAACAGAAATCACCGTTACATATACAACAGTTGTTTAGATATATGGTTAATGCAGTGTTGTAATTTTTGGATATTTAGTGGCATCCAGCAAGGAGTTAAAAAGGAAGGAAGCACGATTGGAACATATACTTTGGAGCTCCCTTGTTGGAGTTTTTAGTCTCTCTGATGCGTGCCGGACTGGGGCTGCTGAGGCAGTCATGGAACTGAACTCTATGGGAATTAAAACTGCTATGCTTACAGGAGATAATCAAGCTCAGCTATGCATGCACAACAACAGGTAAATTAACAAGCACCTGGAGATTCTTCGTACTAAATTGCATACATTTGCTTCCTAGTTTTTCCTTTTTTTTTTTTTTTTTTTTTTTCTTTTTCCTTTTCCTGAGAATTAAAAAACCCAAACTTGCTGCACAAGCCGGCTTCTAAAATGAAGCACCGTTGAACACTGCAATTTTGGGAAGTCGGAAACAATGGCTTGGCCATGCAGGTGCCAATGAGGGACTCGAACCTCATCGAAACATTTGCTTCCTAGTTAAATATTAAGTATAGCAACTTCATCAAAGATAGGTAACAAGAACAACAAAATTTTATGTGCAGCTTGGAAATTCTCTGGAAGTAGTCCATTATGAACTTCTACCAGAAGACAAGGGGAAAATCATCAATGAATTGAAGAAAGAAGGAGCAGCTGCCATGATTGGTGATGGTGTAAATGATGCCCTGGCATTAGCCACAGCTGATATTGGTATATCTATGGGAATCTCAGGTTCAGCTCTTGCAACTGAGACGGGAGATGTTATTCTTATGTCAAATGACATTAGAAAAATACCTGAAGCCATCAAACTCGCGAGGAAAGCTCATTGGAAAGTAATACAGAATATCATTTTGTCATTTGTTACTAAGGCTGCTATCCTTGTCTTGGCCATTGCTGGTCACCCACTGGTTTGGGCAGCTGTTCTTGCTGATGTTGGGACATCTTTATTGGTGATCCTTAATAGTATGCTGATCTTGAAGGGAACACAAAATCAGGGAGATAAAGGCTACAAAAATTCAGCTCAATCAGTTAGTCACAAATATGGAGGGAAATGTTGTAAATCTTCAGCTACACCGCATTGTTGTGAGCCTAAGCAGAGCTTATCCCATGGATGTATTTCTAAATGTGACACTGGCACTTGCCGCTTCAATAACTCATGTGGGAATTGCAGCAAGGATGGTCATGATCTTGAGGCGCAAAACACTCATGGTTGTTCGTCGGTGGAAACCCAATATAAGTGTGTAGAAGATCAGTGTCATCATGGACACTGTCAAAATGAACCTCATAAAGAGAAGCATAGTCTTTTGGATCATTATAGTTGCAGAGAAGAAGACCATTTGTGTAATGAGGATCATGTCACAAAGCACACTAAAAATGAAGTGGGAAAAGTGATCGAAAACATATTTATTCATGGTAGCGCAGAAGGGCTTCACGAGAGCTTACTTAAGATTGGAGAAGAGAGAGATTGGTGATTTTTGCAAAAGCCTGCTACATGAAGCTCAACAGAAATAATTGGTGACTTTATGGAGGAGGCTTGACAGAAATTGTCAAAGAATAAAATTATCTACCTAACTTCTGATTAGGTTATGTTCTTTTACATGATTTTCTTTTTAAAGAAAGATTTTGTAGTTTTCTATCAAATTATTGGAAATGACTTGTCAAAAGGAAAAAAAATTATCGGAATCATTGTATTAGAACTTAAATTCTATAAACTAGAGTTAATGACATTAATCCCCTTTATGTATGATAAAATAACAAAAATTCTTATAAGGTTTCTAAGGTAACAGAAATCTCTCTGTCATTAAGTTTTAAATATTAAAATAAACGGTAGGGGAGTAATTTAGTAATATTTACTAATTCGTAACATTGTAAATTTTTACACTTAGTAACAATTCATTGACGACAGAGAGATTTATGTAATTTTGGAAACCATAAGGGAATTTTGTTGCTGTATCATATCTCAACGGATTAATGTCATTAACTCATGAACTAATATAATGTTTTTTTCTTTTCTTTCATTTTTTTTTTTTTTATATTATTGACGAAGCTGTTATGATTCGTTGACTTGGTTTTTAGGGAAATTCCTTATATGAATTTTATTTTTAAAGCGTGAGTTTTAATTCAGAATTAATCTTTCCTTTATAAAGCGCAGTTTTTTTTTTTTTTTTTTTTTACATTTTTTGGGAATTAAAAAGTTTACACAAGTTACCAAAATTTTACTTTATCTAAGTTGGTAAAGCTTTATTATTTGGAGAGCGATTTTTAGCCCCCACCTAATTTATCAGTATCAACAACTTTTAAATATATTTTTTGTTTAAACAAATTTAGCATTAATTTAAATTACTAGAAATATGACATTATAATTTTTTTTTGAATGGTGTTTCTTTACTTAGATTTTTGTTCCATTAGATTTTTCCTTGAATAAGGTCTAAATGGTAGATGCCTAGGGGGAGTGTTATAAACAGTGGACATTTCCCCCAATGTCACATTTCTAGTCACAATGAAGCATTGTTCATGCACTTGTATCATGTTTTGGCTTCTTGCATTTCTTTGTATCATATTTTGAGAGAAAAGCAAAGCGAATGAAATATTGTTTAAGCCTATCTAATCTTGTTTTCTTCTTTTTTTTTTTTTTTTTCAGTTTAATCCCTTTTATTTTATATTTCTACAATTATTGTACAAGTATGTATGTTGCTAATTTCTAATTACTCTACAATCGGTGACAGAGCTAGGATTTGGTCTCAGTGGGGGCAAGTGAAAAAATTCAAATATTATCATCCATCAAAAATAATTTTTTTAATTCATTAGGTTTTGTGAATAACTTGTCGTATATGTACACGCTAAAATCTATAATTGCAGAAAGAAGGACGAATCCTGTGAGGTTAAGGTCATTGACAATCCGCTGCACCTGCACATACAAAGAAAGCAGCGTGAAGCGAACAGAAAATACCAAGGTGATGCTTGCAGTAGGCACTCCGACGCTCAAGTCAGTAAGGATAATAAAGGTTTTTTAGTGAGGGCAAAGGAAAGAAAATGTTACTAGTAGTTTTGTCAGAAACTAGAACCACGGTGACAATGTGTAGCTCTCCAGAATGAGAACTAAGGGGTTAGAATGTGTAATATTGAATACCTAAACAGAGAAGTGACCCCTATTTATATAGTAGTTACAAGATCTTTGTATCCTAGTAGGACTTTGAATCCTTAATGGTAGAGGTTGAGTGAATAGGAAAGATCCTAGTTCACTTGCCTTGCTAGCGCTAAGAATCCTAATTCAGGCAAGATACGGAATCTTGAACGAATTAGGATAGAACCCAACTAGGAAGAGTCCTACTTACCTTGATCTAGGAGAACCAGCCTTAGATGGGCTAGCCATGACGCCCATTCTGGAGAGAGGCTGGGCTCGGACCGCACGTTTTGGCCCATGTTATGAGTTCTAGTGTTGGCCCAATCAGAATTGGGTCACATCCTTGGGCCTATGTAATAGAAAATGTTTGCTTGAGTCTAATAAGGCCCAAGGCAGATATTGGCCCATACAGTCAGCCCCCCACTCTCTAAGCTAAGAAGTATTTAGCTTGGAGAGTAACTAGTCCGAATGGGGGTTAACTAGGCAAGGTGACGACATATCGGGCCAAGCAAGCGTTCACTTGACTAAATGAAAATATCTTGCCTTGAGGAATGACTCGAAGCACTCATGTAGATGTCTTCACTCGACCAAACCGCCCAAGTGATATGGTGAGAAGCACATCCTTGTGTAGCTAAGCCCACTCGACTGACTGAGCCGAGTGAAAGGATCTGATACAATCTTTACAGCTATGTTTGCTCAACTATCCGAGCCAAATGGTCTGATACCTGGTGCATCCTTTGTTGGTGTTCTTATTCGATTTGACCGAGCCGAGTAAGAGGATGTAAGGTACATCCTTTATAGATGTTCTCACTTGGTTGGCAAGACCGAGTGCAAATTTCTGTCTATGGAACATGGAAAGAGTTTTAATCACTTCGAAGCTAGAAACCCAGTTAGCTCATCTGGTCGAGCTGAATTTTGTCTGAACGTGCCTTGATGGCACCAAGAAAACGAGATATGTGTACTGTAGGGTTTCGTATATGTTGAGCAGGAAATTGAAGGTTACAGATTTTGAAATAGACCTACCATACGACACATGTACGATGGGGATTTTGTTTGCACTTTAGGCGAGAATTCGAGTGGTTGCACCCAATCGCTAGCAGCCGCGTGTCTCTTCTGACAGGCAGTGGGAGTAGAAAAATAGGAGATTTCATTAGAGGACTATTCATCTTCCTATTTTCGTTTCCAGAAAGAAGGTTTGTGTTTGCAGAGGAGTTTCTTTTATCACAATTTCCCTTCCTTTTTACATGGTAAATCTCTGATTTCTCTCCAAATTTTTGTAGTTCTCTCATTTTTCTTTGGATTTTGAAAGTTTTAGGCACAATTTAGGGTGGTTTTAGGAATTTTCAAAGCATTTTAGTGGCAAATAGGCTGGGGTTTCTCAGAATATGGTTTTTGGCTTTGTTCTTTAAAACTCTTGGTAGATTTTGATTGTGAGCAGAATCTATTTGGTGTTTTTATTTGGTTGAGAAAGGAACACTTTTGAGCGAGGAGTGTTTTTTGAACTAGTTGGTTTCGACGATTTGAGGTTTTCTGGGTTTCAAGGGAGTGAAGGAGAAGTCAAGTTACTCAATAGTTTCATTCGACTCGTCTCGGTATCCTTGTCCGAGTCGAGTGCCGTGCGCATGAAATAATTCAGGTTCACTTAGTCAGTCGGTTGATCTGCTAGACCAATTAAGATACTGTAGAAGGTTTCATCTAATGTCGAACTCCGAGTCGGGCGAGGAGCATCATATGGAGACGAACCAGAGGGGCAAGTACGAGCATGCTCCTACCCTGGTAGTAATGTTGGAAGAGGGTGACGTGCTAGTGGGAATCCCTAAAGGGTTGTATGTGGCTGTCTCTGAGCCAGGTGGAGCCGTCGATTTGAGTAGTGACAGTTTTGAGAGGCAAGGGACGAGTGGAGAATAAACGGAGGACGAGTCAAATAGTTCCTAGAGTGATGCTTTAACTAGTGGCGACTCAGTAGAGCTGCCTAGCCGGCTAGTGATGCGTGATTTCATAAACATGTAAATGTAGCAAGTGTACTAGTCCCACAAAGTAATAAAGTAATAAAGTAATAAGTAGAGTATTGTTCCCACGAGGATAGTGTTACTAAGTACCGATTTCCCTAGTTTAAGTCCTAATTAAAGCAACAATAAATTGGATTGATGGAAAATTAACAACTAAATACAAATTAACAAAATATAAATGAATGATAATGAAATTTAAGCAAAACCCAACAACTTAACTAATTAAACAATGCTAAAAAATTGCCAGGGTGTTGATCTCACCTAGATACGTTAACCCAATTCATAGAATCTATTACCCAAGTTCTAATTCCTTGATTGAAAATCGAATTCCCTAAGTTGTAAAACATACCTTCTCATGCTACATTTCCCTACTTATCCCTATTAAGCTTCCGCACCCAACAAAATGAAGATTAATAGTTCAAAGTCTTTTAAGCTTTATGGAATTCTATCTAGATTTCATAGATCGCTAAACCTATCTCTAGTGTTTGCTAATCTACGGTATTTATCCCAAGAAGCACAATCACAAATCACTTCTCAATCTCATTATGAACAACACACATTTGAATGGTGATCAAGCATCCAAAAGTCATTAAGCAAAGAGATAAACACTCAATCATGAAATTAAAACTCAAAGTAAATCAATTCATATAAATTTGAATCATTGTATCAAGGTTACATCAAACCCTAGCTAAACAACTCAGTTCATACTCAAAAACGAATTAAAATAACAAAAACCAACTTAATCAAGATTCATCATTGAAAAACAAGCAAAAGATGGAGAAATCTTCTCTAATTTGAAGCCCAAATCTTCAATAATCTTCTCCTTCCATGAGCTGCCTCCCAAATGACGAACCAAGCCCCTTTTCTCTTCCTTTTCACTCTAATTTATACCTCTCTCACTTAAGGATGAAGCCCTAGCAAGCCAAAACGTGTCGTTTTATTTTTACATCTGATGCAGGTTTCGCCGCGACGAAGCTTTTTCCTTGCCGCGGTGAGGACTTTCGGGCAAAATTTGAGCATGATAGATTCTGAATATGGAAACGTGTTAAACATATGAATTATAACCCTTTCAATTATATTTCTGGAAGTTTAAGAATCAGCACAATACGAGGTCTACAGGTCAAGTTATGGCAGAAATACTAAAGCACGTCTAAAGACGTTTTTCTTCAGTTCCCAGTGTACTTTTCACGACTTCAAGCCAAGTTTTCACCCTTGTCCAATCCGAATTAGGAAAAACCCAAAACATGAAAGTTGTAGCTCTTCTTCTTAGCTTTCCAAAGCTTCTAAATTCAGGTCATTCCGAGTTTTCAAGCTCAAGTTACACAATTTATGCTCAAAACTGTCATTTATGCTCAAAATCATCGTTTAGGCCTGCAAAGACAAATTAATAGAATTAGGTAGCAATTATGGCCCAAATTGTATGAAAAGTATCCTAAATCCTATCAAAATTCAATGCAAAATCATAATGTAAAATCTGCTTATCAGCTAGGTAGCGGGATCTTGGGCACCGACTATCTGCCTCTACTCAAGGAGAATGAGCAAT